ATGTGGCGATGTTCTATAGGACCTCCAAAAACGTGTTGACTTTGCACAACATGTATCTTAACTTGCAAGGCAAGTTTTCTATGTAGGTGCCACATAGTTAGCTTATTCCACAAGCTACCAACATGTGTGGCACGTGGTTAACTTGTTGACCAAGTTTCTAACCTATTAATCAAGTATAAACATATATAAAATCAAAGCAACGTCTATGAAGCTTCTAAGAAGCTACTCTAGAAGATATTATGAAATTAATCTACTTTTACTTATTTCTACCTATTCATATCACCTAAGTAATAATTATAGTAAATATATGTCCATGATACTTTGGTCTGAATAAGTAAGCTTCCAAAAACTTAGAAGATATTGCTATGGCTTGACTTATACTTGTCCAACAAAATCTTTGTTCTTGGCATTTTTCAAAGAATTGATTATTACATATAATGGTTTGAACAAAATAGATTCACTATAGTGACAAAACCTTGTATGGTCTCCAAATCTTGTTCCATAATTTTATATTAGATTCCAATGTAGTAAAACTCAATTTCACCAAAATCTTAATTTTTTTTTTAAATTCCTAAAAAATTATAAATAAATTAAAAATATAAATTTAAAAAATCCTATAATATTTTCATAATATTAATATCTATTTAAGATTATATATTATTATTTTGGTAATTTTTTGTAGTAAAAAAATTAATTTAAATCCAATAAAAATCCTATTTTTTTATATAATTAATTAAAGAGACACGAATTTTTTTTTCATACTTCTTTTAACTATTTAATTAATCATTAATAGGATTTTTTAAATAATACATGTAGATAGGAAATTAATATAGATATTTGTTTTAATAACTAATCATTTATACTTAATAGTAAATAAAAATATTAAACCAATTAAGATAAATTGACTCTAAGTTTTATTAAGACTCCATTTTTATAACTTTTCTTCTAATAAGACTTTTATAACTTTTAAATACTTCTTAATTCTAAGAAATACTTAAATATTTAAAAAAACATCTAATTTTAATATTTTTATAATTAGATAATTTAAAACTATATTTTTAGTCAATCAACCAATTAAGATCCATTGATAGAACTTACAATATAATCTTCTTAGTGGCTAGTTTGTATAAATAATAGTCTAAGACTATCTTCAATGTTAATAATATCCTTCTTGTATTTTAGTCTTAGCTAAAAACTTGACAAGTAATATATTTTTGGTAATAGAAATTTTAGTTTATTTCTATTTTTATTTTTATTTTTTTAATAACTTTCTTTTTTCTTAGTAATATAATATAATTTATATATCTAATTTTTATTATTTAAATTTTTAAAATTAATATTTTAATAATTCAAATATAAATAATTTCAAAATTTTATCATTCTTTATAAAGAATATGTTATTTATATTTTCTTAAAATTATTAAAATAATTTATAAATTTTCAATTTCTTTCTTTTTTTAAGTTAGTATTTTTTCTATTTTTTTCTTATATATAAATTTCCAAGTTCTTGTTTAATAGAAAAATATATAAATATATAAAATAATAAAATATAATTATAAAAATATATGAAATTGATGCTCACCATGGATTGGATTTGTCTACTATTTCAATCAAAAATAATGATAGTTATTAAATGAAATGAAAGAATGATAAGACTTTCTTTAGTAACTATATTATCTCAAGTGACTCATGAAACTATTGCATCTATTAGAGAATTAAGAGTTTTTTTTTTAAAGAAGTTTGATGGTATTGGATCTAAATTTTAAGGATTTATTAATTAAATATAACTTTCTATTGAACTCTAATTTCTTATTAGCCAATTCAAACATTGCATAATAGATGTTTTTTTTCTGTTTTTATGATTTTAGAACAGTGATATCAATATTGAACAACTTAAGTTTATTTCTAGTAATTTCTTTTTTGTTGTATGGATAAAAATATGATATAATTTATACATCAACCAAAAAAATTAAAATTTACTTATAAAATTTAATTGTTATTTGTATATACATTATAGCTATAAAAAATTAAAATTAAAAGTATAAAGAAAATATTGTCTTTATTGTTCAATAATTTTACAAGTTATAAGATGATATTATGAAATTAACTTTTAACTTACATAATATTCTAAAATTAAATTAAATATTTAAATTTAGTATAAAATTTAATAATTAAATATTTAATTTTTAATAAAGAAATTATATGATAGCATCTTAATACTTCTACATTTTTTTAATCTAAAAACAAAAGATTTAACTTTTTAAATGTTAAAAACTTATACAATTATAAAACAATACAGAATTTAGCTTTGTACATCTAAAAAAATAAAAAAAACAAAAAAATATAATTATTAATACCTATAGAAAAAAAACCTTTATTTTAAATTAGTAATAAAATATGGTTACTTTGATGTAATATTTTGGTTTAATTTTTTTGATATATTATTAATAGTTTAATTTTTTAATATTTAAAAATTCGTCAACCTAGTTGCAAACTAATTGAAATGATTAAAATTAATATATTTTTTTCTTATTTTTTAAATATTTCTTATTAAATTATATAAAATAATAATCATGTTTTAATATATTACTATTTCTTATAATTAAATTAAAAATTAATTGAGAATTTGAAGTAATGCCAAAATAAAAACATATTATCTTAATAATTGTTGATTTATATTATTAATAATATATATATATATATATATATATAATTAAATTGTATAATAAACTTTTAATTGTACCAAAATTGGTTTTTATTATTTTTAACAACATCTCTATAAGCCATTATATATATTAGATAGCATAAAAATAAAATAAAATAAAATAAAATATTTTTTACATAATTTTTTTTAAATATTTGTTTTAGTAAGATAGAAAATAAAAAGCCAATATATTTATTTCAAGATTTATTATTTGCCAAATCTTCAAATAAATTACTTAAATTTTTTTAATCTTTATAATATTAAAATTAAAAAGAAGATCTTTTACAAAAGAAATGAATTGTTTAAAATGAATAAACAAGTAGAATATATATATGTTAAATACAACATATTTAGAGACAAATTATAACTACAAATTCTTTTAGATGTATCATGTCGCTACCAAAACTTCTTTTAGAAGTTTTTAACTTTTAAAAACCATTATAAAATCAATCTACAACTTTGATACTTATACTTCATGGTTAAATTGAAGTTTTTATATAATATTTTTAATAACCAATAATTAGATAGATAGATAGTCAAATAGAATTAGGTTGTCTTATTTGTTATAAATGCTTTTCTCGTATTTTTATTTTGATTAAATAAATATATTTTATATTTTTTTAGTTTTAGTTTTTTTTTAATTTATTTCTATCTTCTTTCTCAGTAAAATATGAGTGTATTTTCTTTATATATTTTTTATTAATTTTTATCTCTAATGCTAATGAAAATCTTTAATGATAAGATTGTTAGTAGTATTTAAGTATAAAAAAGTTGTATTTAGATTACTAATTTGTAAGTCCAAATCCAATAATCTCTTTTATTTATATTTCTTCTATATCTACTTGTATTATATAATGAGCTTATTAGTATTTACATAAATAATTTTTATTTTAAATAAAATTTCTAAAAAAATACTTTTAATTAAAAAAATCCTTGAAATAATGAATAGTAGTTTTTTTAGCTTAGGAGCTTGTTTTAAAATATTTATAAAAAGAATTTTTGTGATACAATATTTCTTACAATAATAATAAAATGAATTGTAATCATCTAAATTATAAATTAATAAAATAAAATAAATATGTATAACTAAATAAAATTATTTAAATTTAAATATTTAAGCATATATTTAAATATATATAATTTATTTTTATATTAAAAAGATATTGAAATATATGAAAGAATAATTATTATTTATGATGAGACTTTTGAGTTGGCAAAGTTACTAAAATTTCAAACTATTTAAAACTTTCAACATAAATCTAAAAACTATCAAATAAGATTATAAGATATACCATAAAATTATAAGATATACCATAAAATTATTTATATTATGGTATATCTTATAAAATCAATATACATATTATAAGATATACCATAATATAAATATCTGAATTCATAACTGGAAAGAAAGTATTATTTTATCAAAATTTACATCAATCATGAACATTGATAATTGTTGTAGAGAAAATTCCAAAAATAAGTGTAAATTCTTCCTGCCGTTCAGGATAGAAAATTAAAAAAATAATTAACTTGATAAATAATATATTAATCACCTCAAAGCAAAGACACTTATTAATTCACTCGAATTCCACTGAATGGGATGATATTCCAGGATGAAAGTTTCACTCATAGTCGAGTATTAAGGCGTGTTACATGGACGACATCAGGGTTCAAATCCCCGTGGGGGCAATCACGAGCACTCGTTGCATGTTTCAAGTGTTCGGTGCAGCGCTCGCTTGTTGCTTGCGAAGCGCGGATGATGCTGCGACTGAAGTGTACAGTCGCGGGTGCTCTTCATTGCAATGGAGTCAATTATTAGCCTACGTCCGATTTCTATGGCTTTGTTGTCGTTTCCCTTGGAAATTGGACTCGGCACACGGTGGAATGCGTGAACGTGGAGACTCCATCCCTCCCTTTGGATCAGTCGGGAAAGGCTACCCAGCTGCGCAACAGTGGCACCATGCTCCCTCGAAGCAGCCCTATTGACTTTGATGCTCCAGTGGGTACCTTTGCGGGATTTCCTCGAGAAGATTTCAACGCTTAAAAGTTTCAACGATTCAACGCCTCTCTCGGTGACGAATAGTCTGCTACGCTGACCCTACTGCTTCAATCCTCCCCATGGACCCGTGGACTGCATCCTCGTGGGTCAATGGGTTGTAAATTTAGGAAGTGTCGCATGATAGCGCACATTTACTTGCGCAGAGGTGGCAACAGCTCCACAGAACCGCGCCTCGGGTGAGTCGTAGTGGTAATGCTGCGCCAGCTGCCAGAGCGTAGCACCCACTGATCACGCCCACACCCCCCCCCCCCCTCTCCCCCCAAATCCAAGGGGGACGTGGGGATAACTCCCGGGCATTTCTGTGCTGCACTAGATGGTTCGCTTCTCCAACTTCGTGGACCCAACTGGGTCATTACCAGGACGTCACTTCGATCGACAAGTGAAAACATTCGCGAATCTGTCGGTGTTCGTAGTGTGTCACGCGACTCATTAGTTTGGGTCGCCGAAGAAGAAGAAGAAGCAGAAGTTGTTGCAGGTACTCATACATTTGCTCGATTGTTTGTGGTGCTTGTTTGCCCGGAAAGCACGTGGCGGTGGACCGGGGGTTTGGATTGAAATGGGCTGCTGGGACATAACATATGTGTTAGAGCGGAGGAATGCCTCGTCTGCCCTGGTTTGAAATTCTCCGAGCTGCTTCAGCCGATTTAGTTGATGGTTTTCTTTTCTAGAATATCATAGCTGCGGAGGCGGTAAGAGATTTTGTTGCTTGAGGGATTTTTAGGAGAGCTCCGTTGGTGGAAGCTGTCATGAGTTTCAGATATAACACCAGCGTTCCCCGGCTGAAAGGGGACCGTCCGGAGTTTGAGCGTTGTGTGCAGACAGTGAAAGAGATGCTTAGCACGGCAATTGTTCACCAGAGGGATCTTCTGAATCTGGTTGTATCCCATTACCCGCAGAGCATTGTCGCTACTCCAATTGCGGACGAACGCATTGGCTGCGGAGTTCTCACTCCAGAGTTCCCAATCTCTCCTCTCGTCCTTCAAGAGCTCAAAGCCTACATTGAAAACTCCTTGAACTATTGTCACCTCGCCCTGTGCAGCCTTCGAGAGATTAACCTGAACTCGTTCACTTCGTCTCCTTCTGATTCGTCACCATCAACGCTGAACACTTCTATGAGGAGCTCTAGTGCAGTTGAGGGACAGTTTCCGCCAGGATGGAATACGAAATTCTTCGATGTAACTAACCATGCGAAAGATCACCTATCACCCAGGCTAAACGTCGTCGCTCCTCTGAACTCCCTTCGCAGTTCCTTACACAAGGATCCTCTCCCGTATCATTCAATCACCACCAAGGGCAACGGATGCACACCACGGAATTCTGGAAGTCCCCGCTTCACTGATCCCTTCTCGCAACCCCCACCAGGTAACATTGCAGTTCATGCCTCTTCGTTGCCGTAACCGGAGATCGGTTTTGGATTACGTGAACCATCATTCAGCAAAATGGACGTTAGCGCACTCCTCCCCACCAGAAAGTTATATACTGACTGTGTTCTTTGCGTACGCAAGAGGAATCATAAGACCCAAGTGAAAGTTCAATGTGGTGTCTCCTTTTTCTTCATTTCAAACCATGATGGTATGCGTGAGAAGTTTCTGTGAGAACTAGATGGATGAGCATCAGATATTCTTCTAATCCACCACACAAATTTAGTCGACAACATCAGAAAGGCTGACATGTCCTATTTGTCAGAGTTAGGATTTCGGGCAGAGAATCATCCGGTACTTTGTCACTAATCTGGTGCTGCATATCAAGCCCTGTTGAATGAAACCCAAGATGAATTGCTGTGCAGGTGAAGGTTCATCAACGCAACAGCAGCACCCACACGAACAGAACCTGAATACAAGGTTACTGGCGGTGGATTCGAATCCACCGTGGCCAAGGATCAGTTCCGCTGCCAACAGTGAAGCCAGGTAGCTATGCTTTCCATACATGATGCCTTTTACTCTCTGCAGAATGATCGTGAACAATTGAATCCTCAGACACATACCAAAAAAACTGATGTAATGTTGGCGGGACTATCCTCAGAAAATTTGGCGGACAGAAGGCAAAGCCTGGAGTGGTTCTCCAGAAACTGAACGACGGCAAGAGGGGGATTCCTGATGATGGTCACCGGGGCTGGAAGAAATACGGCAACAAAGCCATCCAGAATTCCAACCATTGCAGGTCCGTATCCACTACTTTCTCAACGTGCTAAATCAACAAGGAGCACGTTGAATGTTCTCAAGTATGAGATCAGTTACTCAAACTAGTTTTGTTTCTTTTTCTAATTGTATTGCAAATATCATCTCATTCATAATCTCTCCACATCATGAATTTGGGTTCGCACTGGATACAGAGGATACTACAAATGCAGCCTGAAGGAGTGCCGTGCGAAGAAGATGGTGCAACTCACTGACAGGGATCCTACCCTCTTCGAGGTAACATATGTGGGGAAGCATAGCTGCAGCTCCAGCACTGCGCACCCGCGGTGCCGACACCGTTCTACACAAATGCTATCAAGCAGTCTTGTGCATGTTGGGAGCAACGGATCTTCAGAAGGAGGGCAGGCCACGTCTACAGTGACCAAGGAAGACAGAGCAGAGGATTGGAAGACCCAGCGTGCTGCTGCCAGTATTGGAACGAATTTAGTGGTAGACGTATCGAATCCCATTATTGATAATGGTTGGAAGGGTGGAAAGTATTCGAATGAGCATAACTACAGTTACAGCTACTTCAACATGGGCATGACCACGTCAACAACGGCATCGACGGCGTCGGAAGAACCAAAGCAATGCGAAGTAGGGGAAGGAGATGACGACGTGGACCAGGACGAGGAAGGCGATGTGTGCATGGACACATATCTCCATCAAAGCTCACGCCATCACCAAGCTGCGTATTCGTTGTGGCATGACTTTGATACATATCCCACCCTATCCACGGACTGATATCCTGTCAGACTTGATACATTGAGAGTAGAATAACTTCCGCGGCAGGCTTCAAAAATAACTGATCGAAGATCCAACGGCAGCGTTTATCGGTATGGACACTCCTCCGAGTCAACATAGAATTGCCTGGGAATCACAAAGACGTCGGCATGAGGAAGTGAACTCGTCCATCTTCAATTCTTTTTAGCATTGATCACATACTGTTCTCTTAGTTCAAACTGAAACTTAAATCTAGTCACTGTCTGTACCATAATTGTAGAGATTGCGACCACTTGTTCTTAAAAAGGGCTTCACATCAGTAATCCTACTTCACAGAAGGTTTTCAATTTACCCAGCATTGAAGGGGGATTAGGATCGCTTCGATTTCAGCTGCTTCTGAGGTCGACACACTTTCGTGATCTCAATAACAGACATCTCTAGCATTGCGATGCTGCGCCTCGATGCGCACGAAGATCAGTTGCTTGATGGGTTTGTTTTTTTCGTTCGACTGTCGTTTCTTCCATTCTTTTGTTGTCATCGACTCCTCCGACTTCGACTACAGCTTCGATCTCGTGATACATTGTGGCTTCACGACTGTTGTTCCTCTCAAGTTTTTTGACCCTCGATCATTGGCTTTTACGCCGAACGTTTACGGGGTTCGAGCTTGGTGACGATGCAACATGTTGGTTCAGCCTTTCATGAAATCAAAGGAAAGATTCTTCTTCGACACGTTCATGGATCTCTGAACATCAAACGACCTAAAACAGTAGTTGCTGAGGGCGAATGCGGACTGTGCTAGACTCCGATCTCCAAAAATCAATCAACCACGACGACGACGATGACTCATTCATAAGAAAATAAGCTAGATTTCAGGGTGGAACATTTTGGGAATCTGCAATTAGGGTGTAGAAATCTTAATTGTTTCATATGGGTTATCTTGATTAACGTATAATGAATGTCGTAATCGGAAGAAGCATTGCAACGATGACAGTATTATACGTCGACTCAAAGTCAAATTTGCAAAAAGTTAATTCCGAATAGCAAACTGAAATTGGACTGAAAAGTATTACTTTACGTTGTGTGATCAATACCGGGTCAAATTTTGCGCTAATTTTTGATGTTTTTGATTTTCTTTTTCTTTTTCAAAACTATGATTTTCTACTTGCTTAACAGTTATAGAGTACACTTATTAACTAAACATCGCATTCGAAAACAGATGCTACGTAACTGTAAACGAGTATTAACAAACTTCATTTGCTACCTAGAAAAAAAAGAATCAAAAAGTGGAAATAATATGTAACTCTTTTCAAAGATGAAAAATAATCACTGATGTAAAATTTAATGAGGATAAGGATGATTGTACTCGGGGTTGAAGAACCTCGCTAATTCCCCCGAACCAATGCAGAACAAACTTGTGCATAATTAATAATAGCAGAACTGACAAGTTTTACAAGCAGGACTATATAACTGTTGAGACTTCAAAGTCTTATAAAATGCCTTATTATATGTAGGCATATACCTCAGTGCCATGTCTGAGACACAGCCGACATTATTGTTGCCTTCACACAAGCCCGACAAAGGTTCAATTAGGTGCTTAACAGATTCTATGAGGGGCACAAGGCAACAAGACACAGGAACTGGTATTTTTAAAACTCATAAATAAATAAAAAAAAGAATTCAACGATTCTGAAACAACTCTTGTGGAGAAGATATTGGCTCAAATCTAAAAACTAAATCCAGACCAAGTATGCTAGATATTTGTATGTGTCCTTGTTTTATCCAGAGAAGAAGATACTCCAAGGGGTGAAGGGTATCTCCTTGTCTTCAAATTTTACTATAGAGTGGAGGGCGTGGTGCATGCCAGTCTGCAACAATTGATGTAGGGTGGTTGTTTGGGGCTTTTGCCCAAGACATGGCTAATGGTTGTGAGTTGCATGGCTTTGTTCCAAATGGCTTCTATGATGGTGAGCTCCTAGGTAGAAAAGATCACTGAACAAGTAACAAAATTATATTTCAATTGAGTTGCATTGTTTTTAGCTACATGGCTTTTAGCATCCAAATGCATAAGCGTTTGGCTATTGGTACTAACCTTTGAGCCATATCTATTGGAGAATAGATCTTGCTTCCATTTTAGATCATTGAAGGCAGGCAAAGTGTTCTTCTATTGCTCCCTGGTCAAGAGTGTAGTGGCCAAACTTCATGCCATATAGATCTCAAATTCAAAATAATGAAAGAGTCATGGCTCCAAAAGATATAGTAACTAGTATGTTAAATAAGTACTAATCCTAAAAATAATGTTCAATTAACTAACTACAAATAGTGATAGAAAAGATGAATAATTTGATACTAAATTTCTTATAATATTATAGTTAAATCTATTTGATAACAAGTTGCCATTGCTATACCTCTCAACTTGCTCTCTTTAAGCTACCAACTAAAATGGAGTGTTGGATAATAAATGATATAAAAAATAGTCAATCAAATTGTATTAAGACTAATTAAGTGTCATCCTAAAGACTCAAATTTCAAATTACAAGATTAAGAGTCTTGTGTTCTACCAATTGAGCTAAAATTTGCATTGAGATTTACATCCAAAAATTATATATGGCACATGATGTTGGATGAGTTCGACTAAGCTAAATAAAAGCATTAGGATATCTTTAGTTTATGAAATAATTATCATGTTTTAACAAAGGAGATTGGAATTATATTTGTAGTCTATATTTATCCTTTAAAACTTACTCTTGATCTAGTTGTGTAATGTTTTCTATCAATATTATTCTTAAGGTGTATTATCCATGTTGACTTATTGTCGAAACTTTCATCAAAGAGTCAAAAGAGATTGTGGTTAGAAATGTCTAAGAAGGCCATAGTTATGTAAATATGCATTGTCAATTTGAGGCAAGGATTGTTCTGATATCAACGAAGGTACATTTTTAGTAATTTGTAAAGAATTCTACATAATAGTAAAAATAATTATTCTTTTTTGCTTCATAGCTGTCATCTTCTTCTAATATTAAATATGTCCATTAGTGTTCCACCTCTTAGAATCATATTTTGATTTCTTTATATAGTACTTATTCCATTCTTTATATGCTTTTACAATTGATTGTTTGTAGCCTTGTCTTTTAAGGATTGTTAGTGTTGGAACAATCTATTCTTTGGCCCATAGTAATATAGTCTTCTAGAGGTGGTAAAATCAAATATAACAATTTATTGACAAAGTTAAAAATTTCTATTTTGATAGGAAATGGAGGTCTTCTTGGATTTGTCTCTATAAGAGAATTTATTAGTTTCTTATAGTAGTTATTGGTGTATCTTTTGGTGGTATTTTTTATCCTTTACTATCTACTTCTCTCGGATTTACAATGAAGATTTTTTCTTGTAGCACCAAATTTTAGGATAAATAGTCTACTAAAGGGAGTATTTTCTAATTATATGTGCCTATTATTATAAATATATTTTTAGCCATCTCTATTTCTAAGAAGAGTACTTTTTTTTTGCTAATGTGAACGGATTTTTTTTTGTTTTATAGAATACCTGCCACATTTCTATCTCAACATATATGGATTTTTTTTATTTTTATTTTTATTTTACTTTATATAAGATTGTACATATATAGAAGGGAACTTTATTACTATCATGGTTGCACTTAGCATATCATATGTTTTAGAATAGGAACAACTTGAAGACTAATCACAATATGTCTTTTTGGATGGTTACATTACAAGTAAGTGTCTTTAGTTTCTTGTTCCCTTTTGGATGCAATGTTCTCTATAGAACATCTTTCTAGTTCATTGTTAATCTATATTTTTCTTATATCAATATTATATTGTATTTGGTCCATATTTTATCTAAGTAGGAATAATTCTAAAAAATATGCTCTGTTGTTCAATACTTCTATTATTACATAAGGTTTATCTTTTATCTTGACACATGATCATACACTATTTTCTAATAAGAAGGTTATTAGCCAACATAAGCCAATTAAAGAGGGAGGCCTTCACCAAGATGCATAGATACTATAGTTGTATATAAAACATCTTAATTTCGTGTCTAGTGAAGTAGTGAGATTTTAACACTTCTTTTGCTTTATTTGGGATAGTCTTTTTATCCAATCCTACTGTATAGCCTCTTTTGGTAATGTATCTATAGGTCAAGTCTTTGAAGACTATGTCTAATTTCTTTTATTTCTATTTGTCATAATCTATATCTAATGTGTCTCTCGGAATTAGGTTCCTATCAATCATATTGTATATAGATCATTGATTGAATTAGTAGAGTTGAATTCAAAAAATTCTTCTATTTTTCACACTCTTCATACCACTTATATCCTATGGTAGTTCTTATCTCCTATGTCTAGTTTGTTCAAGTGTATTTATTTTACTTTATTTATTTTGATAGCTAAATATTTTATACTTGTAAATATATTTTTCTTAATATCTCAAAAGTGATATACTTCCATTATTTTGTCTATTGTATTCATTGACTACTAGTCTCTAAGATTGAATATTATACATAGATTTGGATTTTAGTGAGATGCTTGGTAATAACAAATATTACTGAATAAATATAGAGTAAAAGCTAATGAATTGTTAGAATGCTATCTTGATATATTATAAATGCATGATATTATTAATAATAGAATTAAATATTATATTTATTAAAGATTTTTTATTAAATAATTTCTATACAAGATCATTTGAATATATTAATATTGCAATAATTGGCCTTCTATATTAGTACAACTAAAAGATAAATTATTATATATCTAATTTTTATGACTATAATTTTTTAATATAGTTATTTTAATTAAATTTTTATTTTAATTATATTTTTATAATTAAAATTTATAATTGAATTAGTTATTTATTTATTAAATAATATAAAAAAATAAAATATTAAAAATCTATTAAAGATATGATTTACAAAGAATAAAAACCTAAATACACAATTATATCACTAGAAAAGAATAGATATTTATTTTTAAATAATATAATATTAGAATTAGAATGATTATTCTCAAAGATAAAAGAGTCAAGGCCAAATACTCTTGAAACAAGACTAAGAACAAGAAAGGTATTAATAAGACTAAAGAAGGTCTCATTCTTTTTTTTTACATATATTATTTGATTAAGAGCTATGCAATGACATTTTATAGAACTTCCAATAACTGTTCAACTTCCGAAACACATGTCTAACTTATAAGATTAGTTTCCTACATGTATGCTAGATAGTTAGCTTGTATTACAATTGACTAACATATACAACATGTAATTAACTTATTGGCCGATTTTTCAACCTACCAATCATCTATTAACATGTGTAAAGTCAAATTTGTATCTATGATGCTTCTAAGAAGCTATTCTATAAGATGTATTATCAAACTTATTTATTTTTATTTTTTCTATTTAATTCCTTAAATCTCAATAAATATATATGGTTGTGAAATTATATCTCTTTTTAGAGATAAGTTCTACAAAGAATGGTAATCTCATGTTGAAAAAGTCCAAGATGTAAAATATTATATTTGCCATATATTCTAATATTTTTTTCTTTGAAGATAGTTGATAGGTCCTCTCATCTATCAATAGTATATCTTACAATGGTAATAAGACCATCTTATTATTTAATTATTGTTGAGGTCTTTTTAACTTCCATCAAATAAAACATTTAGAATACCATTAATGGTGATTCCTACATCTATTAATATCACCAAACATTAAAAGTCTTTTTTAAGGTTGTGATATCAAATATATTCTATCTGACTATGTATTTGAAGAAGAATATGTTGTTTTTGAAGGCCTTTATCTCTATATGTTATCTTGAAGATTGTAACTATTTTAATGCATTGTTGAATAACTTAATAAACAAAAAGCTTTTAACTTGAAATTGATTATTGATTCTTCATCTCCTTAGAATCACAAATACACAAAAATCAAAAATAAGGATAGAAAATAGAATGCAATCTTCACTAAATCTTATTTTTTTATAGCAAAATATTACTTTATTTATCATCTTGGTTTTGATAGTTGTTGTCAATGAAAAATATCAACCTTCTTTGTTGTACTTAC